ATGAACTTAGAATACACTACAGACTAAAAACACAGAGTGACACAAACAGTTCACACACTAACTTGAATACATCCATCACCTACGCATGTGGGCAGCTGCTAACAGCGACAAAAGTAAAAGTGACTCAGGAAAACAAAAGACTAAACTTCTCTGTTTATAAGAATCTCCTCTTTTGGGTCACTGTTGCTGCTCTTCTGAAAAACTCGCATTTATGAATGGGATAAAGGATAAGACATAGAACTAAATAACTAGCCAAGGTAACTTGCATAAGCCACATGCACACAACGATTCATAACAAAAAGGAATGCATGGCGGGTTCGAAATCTCAAAACAGAGCTCTAACTGTCAAAAGCATTTTTTTTTGTCACCATTTCATAATTCACATGCATTATTATTGCCAAACTATAAAGCAGTCACACTGGACTATAGATAAACAAAAATAGAGGAGGAAAAGCTTGGGATGCAATATATGTTGGGTGATCTTTTCTATTTCCCTGGCAGCTAAACTTTCCTCAAGCAGAAATCTATTAACTCTTACCTTTAATTTCACACACAGCCATCTTTATACTTCCTTTGCTGCCTTTGCAAACATCATCCTGTGAATCATAGTATGACAATATCCCATTGTCTAAAACAAACCACCTAGGCTGCCAACCTAGTGAGATCAAAAACATAAAAAGGAAAGTTTAGTCTAATTGTTAAATTGCAAATCAATTTCAGCTCTTTGGTTGTTAAAACTTTTATTAACAATGCAAACATTAAACTTTACATGTTAACACACCAGGAAGTAAACAATCTGCACAGTATGAAGACGAGAACCACTCTACAACCAAATTAGTGTTATACGGATATTTCACTCCCATTCTTTTTGGATGCAAGATCAGTAGTATTTCAGTTTTCACTATATTCCATTCTACAGCAAAAATAAATTTTAATTTAGCCACCAAGGAATCCTGTTTTGAAGGTTGAGAAATTATATACCTCTGAAGAACCATTCTCATTCAAGTACGCTTTTCGGGCAGACTTTCCTAAGATTGTAGGATCTTATTTGTAAGACACAAATCAATTACTGATGTCACAGACTGCTATGCTATGGTCTCCTCTGCCTACTCTATTTCAGTGTAAAGTCGTATATTTCACACTTAACTATTGACACACCATTTTCTTTGAAAGTAGCCCAGCTCCATTGCTCAACCACAATGTAACATCAGGCATTGTGTGGGGAACTGAGACATGGCTTACGCTCCTAGGCCCATTTGTGAGGACAGCATACCCTACACCCTCTACTAAGGTTTCCACCAGCTTTACATTAGCAAAATTACATAATGACTCTGACTTCACTACATCTACAAAACAGAGCAGTTTATGCATAGACACAAATACCTGTAAGAACTCTATGCCACATAGTAAATTATTGTCATGTGTTCTCCTGGATTAAAATACATTAGCATCCCCCCTTTTTTTTTTTCCTCCTTTTTCAGCTGTTTCGTAAAACTCAACACCCATCAGAATAGATGCCTTAATTTCTAATACCACTAAATGCAAACCATTTTGCCTACTATATCACCTTTGTTTCTAAAAAGAACGTAAAACTAAACTATTCCAGTAGAGCATAACAATTACACTGGCCCATTACAGTCTAGGTCAGCTGTACACTAGGAGCAGATTATCCCTCTATTTTACACCTCGACACCAAACATTAACTTCCTGCTTGGCTTAGGGTTTGGAATGGCAATAACTGCATGGCCAAGAACTCAATGTATTTGGCGATATGACCGTGTGGTCCAAGGCACTTACGAGTTGCCATTCCAACAGAGCAAGCTGTAGCCACGTATTATAACACAGCCACCTTATAACCACAACATAAATCAGGAACTAGACTCTTGAAAATCAGCTAAAGGCTTCATTCTACTCACATCAAGTCATTACAAGTTTTAACACTAATTACATCATGTCACAATTCTATGATAAGGAAACAATAACATGTAACTATTTTTTTAAATTATTAGCTATAATGGTAAGTATGTGTGTCTTTCAAAATGCAGAGTGATAACTAATAAACAGATGAACACTCAAATATAAAAACAGAATTAAAAAAAGTACAAACATTGAGGGATACCAACTCCCACAAGAAATATATCAAATGTTATGTGTACATCACATACTCAAACAATATGCAGTCATAAAATGACTGTACTGAAGACTCTATCCTGTAAAATGTGGGGTTTTTCCAGCTACACTGTCGCAAAACCTTGACTCTGTGTTGCCCTCATCTCCTAAGTGCATGCACAGGTGGTAAGGCAACACCAGTCTCAACAGTCTGATTTTTGATAAAAGGGGACCCTACATGGACAATTATTTCAGCTTCACATCATGCTGGCATTGGAAAAAACAGAAGCAAAGGATTTAAAAGACTCCAAGCACCTCACAGAACCAAGCTAAAGAACAAAAGCACCTCTTCTGACTTCAAATTGGGCAAACAGTGTCTTATGCTCAAAAAAATATTTAACAAATTTGTACTTCGCCAATTCCTACATGCACACATATTATTTAAGGAGAAAAAAAATAAAGCTGTATTTCTGGTTTACTTTCAATGAAGAAGGAAACTAAATGTTTTCCACAATGCTTCAGCAACAATAAAAAGCTCCTTTGCTGCTTGGCTTCTACCATTAATGACAAGTACCACAGTCTATTTCTGGCTACAAAAATAAACAGCAGAGTAACAAGAAAGTTGGTAATAACGTTTAAAAATTTCACTAATATGATTAGATTTTTTTTCTTTTTTTTTTTTTTTTAATTTGCTACCCTCCGATATTTTGGTAATTGGGAATTCCTCACACACTGTAATTTTGAAATGCAGGAGCAGATGCTCTCAGTTGGCCAGCACACATGGAACAAAGGGTTCTGCAGTTCGCTATTTTAGAGGGCTACTGACTTTTAGCAGAAGTTAGCTGCATATTGATATAACAGTCTATTGTGTGTACAGCATTCACAATTACTGTTGAATATTTACTTATTAAATAACAGACTTCAAATGGGAAGTTTATACCAAACACTACAAGGGCTCATTACCTGTGACCGTTTACTTTTTACTACAGTAACACTTCTGGTCATTTAGGTGAAAGCAACGATTTCCATTTTATTTTGAAAAGAAACTTGTACTCGTTATTTCTTTCATACCCAGTTTTTCCTATATGTGTTCCCACCATACACGGTGAAGAAGTGACAAAAATATCTTATCAAATATCTATTTAATTACAGAATAACCGTTCTCTTTCACCAGAAGGCCAATATACCATATTTGCTCTGAAAAATGCAAGACTATGCTCTGTACACTTTAATTCACAGCAAGTGTGCATAATCCTCGCAGTGTGGCCCCCATTATAAACCCTTTTATAAACTGTCAGAATTAAGTTTATAAACCACTCCACATTCAAAATTGGAACACGCTGAAGCAGAAATGGCACGGGTAAAGTCCCAAAGAATGAGAGGGCAAAGGAGATATTGCCGAAGCAGTCAAACACGAGGCCTGATTAAGCACGGTGTACGATCCAACACTGATCTGCTCTGGAGGCACAATTAGTCCTGTTACAGTATCAGAAGAGAAACCTGTTTCACCTTGACAGTACCCTCGATCCACTGCTATCCCCAGAGGGAGGTAGTATCTCTATTACAACAGAGAATGAGGCAAACAAAACCAGAGCTTTGAGGGCAAATGCAAGTATTTGGTGGATTTCTGTCTGCAGCACTTCTAAAAATGCATTTCGTTAACACTTCACCCAGAACTGAAGTTTTTGGTATGTTTTACAGGTTAGGATACAAGAGCACATACTCCAAAAAATTACCATCCAAAAGCAAATTAAAAGAGAATTCAAACTTTCACTTTTAGCAATGAAGATTTAAAGATGTAATCTTAAATTATTCCTCAACCACAAACGAGGAAACCCTGCAAGTTTGTATGCTGCAAATTAAAGCTGTATTCTGAGAGAAAAAAAAAGAGCAGGAGAGGACAATCCCATAGGTGGGCCGTTAGAATAAGGCACTTCCTGCAGCCTGTCCCGTTCCCAGTCCCTGAGGAACTCGGCCCGGGAGTTGTGGAGAGGCACTCGGCCACCCAGCTCCCAGGGGAAAACTACAGGGGGTAGGACCATCTTGCCTACGAGGCCGCCTTGGTGCCCACGCCGCCGGGCTGCGAGGGAAGGGTGCAGGGCCTCGGCCGGGCCGGGAGGCCTATCGCCAGCCCAGGCCGCACACACACACACACACACGGCAGCGCTTTGGGGAACGCTGGCGACCTCCGCCACTCGCCCTCCCCGGGCCCGGCCCAGCCCCCGCAGCCGGCTCCAGGCCGCCCCGCCGCCTCAAGGGCGCCGGCAGCCTCCGCTCCCCGGCGGGATCGGCTCTAAACACAAACGGCGAACAATTTCTCAGCCAGCCCGTTAAAAGCCGTCCCTGACCGACGCAGCAAGCAGCGCCCCCACGGACGAGGCCAACCTCCCCCTGGTCCCGCAGGCCCGGCCGCCCCAGCCCCATCCACCGCCCGCCCCAGGCCCCGCTTCCCGCCGCTTACCCGCCAGGTAGTTGGTCCACTTGTACAGGACCCCCTCCATCGCTCACAGCCCGACGCCGGGCCGCATCCTCCTGCTTCTGCCGCGGGGAAAGGGCGGCCGCCGCCGCGGGGATGGGCGCTCAC